GAACCCTTGATAAATTATAACTTATTATTTTCATATCTTACACCATCCGCTGTCTCCCTTCACCCATATTTCTGTTGTTTGTCCTCTTCGGTATGTGTAGGGGGGTTGTACGTCGATCATTGCAATTGGTTCCATCTTTCTCCCCTTCTCCTGCCATCTTTGGTCCTGAGGGGTTTGTCTGTCCTGCATTCTGTGTTGAGAGCTCATATCTGTACCAGTGTACATGCTAGCCAGATTTGTAAGATAAAACGGGTCATGATAGTGGGTGGGAGGAAGCATTAAAGAACTAGAGGAATGTTGTGTGTTTCATCGGTGCTATACTGCACCCTGGGTCCCTTCCTTATGGCTCTTCTCTGAGGGGGTGTCCAGTTGTCTACAGATGGGCTTTGGGTCTCCACTCCAACCCACCTCATTCACATCAATATGGTAGTTTGTTATGGGTCTTCTGATGCCTGGTACCTGATCCTGTCAATACCTTATGATCACACAGACTGGTGTGCTTCTTCCGTGTGGGTTTTGTTGCTTCCCTGCTAGATACACAACTGTTTAATCTGTTTTCAGTTCCTTTCAGCTCAGAACACTTTCTCATCTCCCTTTTGATTTCATCTTGTGTCTATGGATTAGTTACAAGTGTGTTGACATTCCAGATTTTTTAGTGTTTCCAGATATATTTCTGTTATTGTCTAATTTAATTCCATTACGGTCAAAGAAAGGTTGTACACCTTAAATCTCTTAAAGTTTATTGAAACTCATTTTATAGCCCAGAATAGATTTATATTAGCCAGTGTTTTATTTGTGCCTAGAAAGAATGTATCTTCTGCTGTTTGTGGCTGGAATTTTCCATAAGTAAAGGTCAATTAGAACAAGTTGATTCATATTGTTTTTTAACTATTCCATCTTTTTTTAAAACTCTTATTCTGCCCAATTTATCCGGCTGTTGAGAGAAAGGTGTTGAAATAATTGGTGACTTGACTGTCCTTTCAGTTGTGTCAGCTTTTGTACTCTGAAGCTCTGTTATTAGTGCATAGACATTTACTTTGTTATATCCTCATTATTATATCATTGTGAAATAATCCTCTCGGTCATTCATACGTTTGCTTGTTCTGTGCACTGCTATGTCTGATATGACTGCAGTCACTGTGGCCTGCTTTTGACCAGTGTTAACATGTTAAGTCTTTTTCCATTCTTTTGCTTTGATCCTAATTTTATGGATTGATTTAAATCTATTGTCTTGTAACTTGGCCTCCATGTAACCTCTCTGGAGATTTTTTCATCATTTCCTATTTTTTCTGTCTTTTCTTGAATTAGTTGGATTTTTAAAACGTCTGTTTTATCTCTTTTGTGTGCTTTATCCATTTTAGCGGCTGCTTTAGAGTTTATGTCAATATCAAAGTGACACCACTTCACATGTTGAGGAGAACCTCATGACAGTACACTTCCATGTTTTCCTTCCCGGCATTGTGGTTTTGCTGTCAAAATTTTGTTTCGACAACGTGCTCCAAGCCTCACGGTAGATTGAGGTTTACATCTACTGTCTTCTTAGCTTTAAACAGTCTTTTGCCTTTCAAAGCATTTAAGAACTCAGATGCTTTTTTATATGTACCCACATAATCCACCACCTAGCTGTCATACTGTGGTGCCTTGTGTGATAATGCTGGGAGCTTTGCCACTAGTACTTCAAATACCAGCAGAGCCCCCTTTGGGGGACCGTTTACAGTGGGCCTTCCAGACGAAGACAGACTAGGAAGAAGACAAAGACAGTCCGCTTCTGAAAGAACAGCCAGGGAAGCACTGCCTGATAGAGTTCAGCACTGCCTGGAGCTCCTCAGGGGGAGCTCACACAGGCAAGTGTGCAGGTGACACAGACCGGGCGGTGCGTCCTGCTGCTGGGCAGGAGGGCTCCTCTGAGTCAGACCAACCCAACAGCTCCTAATAACAACCCACCTAACTGCCTCTTCTTGTGCTCGCGCTTCCTTTATTGAAATCCAGATTTTCGTGATCTTTTTCCTTCGGCCTAAAGTAGTATACCCTGTGACGTTTTAGTAAGGCGGATCTGTAGTTTCTAATTACAGATCTGTAATTTGTTCCGTGTTGTGTTAACATCTCTTTAATTTCATTTTTGAGAGTTATTTTTGATGGGTATCTAATTCTAGGTTGGCAGATGTTTTTGCCCCGTCAGTTTTTAAGCATCCAGCCCACCCTCTGCTCATTTCCATTCTTTCCTGTAAGAAAGTAGATTCCGTCCGTGTTTCTGTCCCTCTGCATGTCCCTTTACTGGGCTGCTGATGAGAGTTCCCTGGTCGCCGGCTCGACAAGATCTGACTACAATGTGCCTTCCCGCGGTGTTCTTCATATTCCTGGCCCTTGACGGTCACTGAGCTGCTGGAATCAGTGAGCTTGTTGTTTTCGTCACATCTGGAGAACGTTGGGCCATTATGTCTTCAGAAGGGTTTTCTGAACCCCTTTCCTCTTGCTCCTTTGGGAGCGCCACTTATATGGACATTGGGCCACTTGCCGTGACCTGACAGCTCACTCAGGCTGTGTTCATGTTTTCCCCCCAATCTTTCTGTATGCACCATTTTGTAGTTTCAGTTGTTGTCTGCAAGTGTGTTGGTCTTTTCTTCGACAGTGTTAGTCTGCTCCTGACCTACCCCTGTGTGCTTTTCACATCGGATATTGTAGTTTTCATCCCCTCTCTGGAAGCATGACTCCCTTCTCCCTCCCCAAACCCCTTGCCTGTTCGTACCTAACATGCTCAGTCTTCTAGCTTCTTAGGCATTTGAAACATGGTCATAGTAACGTTTTTTAAAAAATATTCTTGCCTACAAATTATATCGTGTCATTTCTGGGTCAGTTTATTTTATTTTATTTATCTATTTATTTATTGTGCACCAGGGTTGTTTATTTGTACCACAATGTTCAATTTTCTCATTAGGCTGTCTGGGTCAGTTTTTAGTGCGTTGATTTATTTTTCCTGACCAAGATTCCTATCTCCCTATATTTGGGGGTGCCTTGTGAATTTTTGTTGGATGCCCGTGATTGTAAACGTTGTTGAGTGATGGATATTTCTGTATTTGTATAAAGCTCCTTGGGCTTTGCCTGGGGACATGGTTATGTTACTTGGAAAATGCTTGACCTTGCTTTTAAACTTTGTTAGATGGGACCACAACAGTGTTTATTCTCAAGCTAATTTTGCCTCAGTAATGAGGGAAAAATTTAATACTTTACCTGAGGCTCAAAAACTGGACACTTGCTACTACTGCCTGTGGTGGGAATAAGAAGACAGACAAACTTATGGGAATCCTGCTCTCATTCCCGCTCATTATTTTGGGTGGTTCTTTCCCCAGCAGGGAGCCACTTGACAGGTAGACGCTGGTCAGTAGTCAACTGGAGACTCCCTCCCGAGCGGCCCTCTGCAGACCCTGTGCAGCAGCTCTCTGCGCTGAACACTCCAGCTGCTGGGTCCCGCTATCCCAACGACATCCTCACTGCCCGGAGGCCGTTGGACCTGCCTGGCGTCCTCGCTCTGTGTGCTGTCTTAACAGATGTGCAGAGGTAGCGCACTGTTTTTGTAATTCACGATTCCCTCATGACAAGTGACTTTGTCGAGCATGTTTTCACATGTTGATGTGCCCTCTCTGTATCATCTTTGTGGAGGCGCCTGTTCAGAACTTTTGCCCATTTTTAAAAAGTACTTTTATTGGGGGCTCTTCCATCTCTTAGCACCATCCATGCATTCCTCCAGTGTGTCAAGCACATTTGCACGTAGGCCGCCATCATCACTTTCAAAGCATTCTCTTCCCACTTGAGCCCCTGATATCAGCTCCCCATTTCTTCCCCCTCCTCCCCTGCACACTCTCCCTCATGAACCCTTGATAAGTTATAGATTATTATTCCCATATCTTACATCATCCTCCGTCGCCCCTCACCCACTTTTCCATTGTTCATCCCCCGGGAGGGGGTTCTAGGTTGATCCTCGTGATCACTTTTGCTCATTTTGTCTTGGGGGCGTTTGTTTTCTTACAGTTGAGTTGTGCACGGTCTTTGTATGTCCTGCATCCTAGTTCCTTATCAGACAAGGATCTTGCAGACCTTGTTCCTCGTGTGTCCTGAGTGTTCATTCTTCACAGTGTCTTTTGCAGACAGAAGTCTTTCGTTTGAATCAAGCTCAGTGTCACTATTTTTGTCCTTTCATTCATGGGGTTGATTGATTGTGCTGTTGGTGTTGCCCCTGCGGGTCGGGAGACATTTGCTGAGTTCACCGTTGCAGGAGACCTGGCAGGAATCAAATGCGAGTCTGTGTAGGACACTCAGGGGACAGGGAGATCGAGGGGAACCTGCCGATGGAGCTATCTGTGACACAGCTGCATGGCTGGTGATCCAAAGCCCAAGGAACAGTTGAACGGGAACAAGTGCATAAGCGCTTTGGGGCTGCAGCACAACAGTAGTAGAGGAGCGCGGGAGGGTGTGCGTGACTCAGAAAGGGGACAGATCTGCCAGCTACCTTGCACCTGTCATGAAATACCTCAGCCACCAAACCAGCGTCTCCTAAGTCCGACTTAGACACAGGCTGGCAATGCCTTGAACACTCATGAATCTGTCCTCTCTTCCCCAGATACCCTGTCCCCAGCTTCAAGCCCTTCGTCAGGAAACTGTCCTGTGGTTCCCGGCAGCGCTGAGGAGCCGTCCAGCAGGGCATTGAACATTGAATGTAGGATCTGCGGGGACAAGGCCTCTGGCTACCACTACGGGGTGCATGCCTGTGAAGGCTGCAAGGTACAGTGCACACTGGAGCGCAGGCGGCAGAGGGGGTGGTGAGAGACCATGGCACGGTGTCTCCCTGGAGTTACTTCACAGGTACTTGTCTAAACTATCCTAAGGGTGTCTCTACAGTCCGTGAGACATGCTGGTACTTGGGCAGAGCTGGGCGAAGTATGAACGCAAATGAACTCCATGAAGAACAGCCCCTCGTTTGAATGCAGGGCCCGAGTTTTTGTCCACCTTCATTTGGGAACCTCCAGAGTCAGGGACCGGTAGTCTGAGGTGTGGTGTCTTGTTTGGGCAGTCACAGAAACCGTGACTGCCTCCTCTGACTTCCCGGCCATCAGTTCCTGCAGGTCCACGGCCACCGTGGCTGAGCCAGTGCAAGTGTCTGCACAGCCTCCTCCCACTAGCCCATGACAAGAGTCGCAAGTCCCTGGACCTGCTCGGAATTCCTGACCAGGACCCTGAGTCCTCAAGGTCCAGTCTCTGAAGTCTTCTGCCTACTGGACCACGGGCCCTTCTGTGGTTTTCCAGCACATGCTGGGAAGAATCACGCCCAATCCCATCCTGGATGTCTGCTGAGTCACATGCCTTTAGTGTCCCATCTCCTTGACAGCTCAGGTGCTGGATGGGCACTGAGCACAGCAGGTATGGTCGTCTGAGTATTTGGTGGAAATCAGGAGTTCTGCCACCGTCATGAAACCATGGCACACACCCATTTTGCCCCACCCCCAACAAGGCCTGGTCCACAGGTAGAACAGGCCGCATTAGTCAGAGGATCCTGCACCCTCAGGCTACCAGTTCTCTCTTTGGCCTTTCCTCTTCCAGTCCCTTACGTAGTGGGCCATCCTCCTGTACATACTCGCCTAAATATGGCAGGTGAGGACACAGCCTTCCTTTTCGACCCCAAGGATGACAGGGTCTCCTTAGTGGAGGCAGGCAACCCTCCCGCACCAGGAACAGGAAAAAATGGTTTAAAAGCAAAGAGGAGGAAATACCAAAGCAAACCACTACCGAACATCTTTCATCAGCAATTCTATAGAAGAATCCCGATCCAAAGGGGGGAATGTGGAATAGGATTTTATGGAATCCAGACTTTCTGGAGCCATGGAAGCTGTGTGAATTCCTGAACCGATTGCTGTGAGATCTTTAAACCTTCAACCAAAAATAGCTCCTGAAGTCTTCTCACCACCAAAAAAAGGTTCATCTTAGTGATTAAAGCGCGTCTGCCATGAGCCTGGTGCGCTTTCAAAAACGTCACATGTGGCCCCTTGGACAACACCAACTCCAAAGTCCTGCTCAGAATGTTTGGGGTGGGGCAGCACGAGGATGAGTTCATGGGAGTGGAAAAGAAACAGTTTGGGCAGGGAGGGTTAGACTGACGGCCACTCATCAGTGTACAAGCAAGCATACATACACGCATGCGTGCAAGGTGTTCCCCCCAAAAAACAGAATTTCACTGGGCAGAGCGGAACTTTTGTAGTACATTTCTCCAGCTAGGTGAGCATTGAGCAACTTGCTCTGTGTTAGTGCGCCCAGTGGGGTAGCCTGGGAAGGTTCTCTATGGTCGCAGTGAATTTTTTTGTAAAAGTAGTTTCACTCAAACCTCAGTTTTTGTGATGGGCGATTTAAGAGAACAGTGTGCAGCTATGAAATTTTGTTTCCTGCTCGGGGAAATAGTGCCACAGAAACTGTTAAGATGCTGAACACAGCCTGTAAGTATAGCGCTATGGGAAAAACTCAAGTGTCTGAGTGGTGTTCTCATGTCAAAAAAGGTGAAATGTCGATTGATGACAAACCTCATTCTAGACATCTGTCAACTTTCCGAATGACTGGAGTGCATTTGGAGTTCATTCCACCGGGTCAGACTGTCAATCAAGCTTTCCATTTAGAGGTTCTGAGAAGATTGCGTCAGTGTGTGACAAAAATGGTCTGACTTGTGGCAGATGGGGGACTGGCTTTGCCACCACAACAATGCACCTCCTCGTGCCACCATCTCAGTGCGCCAGCTTTTGTAAAAACAAAAACATGCCTCTCTTGCCTTACACACCTGACTCACCTGACCTCACTTAGTGCGACTTCTTTTTGTTTCCGTGAATGAAGAGGGACATGAAAGGACAGTTTGATGATGGAGAAGAAGCGAAGGAGAAAACAAGGAGGTGCTGTCAGCCAGCCAAACAGATGAGCTTGAAAAATGTTTCCAAGAATGGAATGGAAGATATAACAGTTGTATTAAGTACAATGGAGAGTATTTTGAAGGTGATATGGTTATTTTGTAAAAAAAACAAAACAAATTAAATACTTAGCTGTGGCAGGGGGACTCTAGGGTTTTTTTTGAGGTTCCCCCCTCTGACAGTGTACACACAGAATTATATCTACAGAAATGATTGCATGGGTGGGGGAGAGACAAATGATTGAATGGGTTTAGGTTCTGCTGTGGATATTATCAGCATCAAAAAATAAAATATTTTGTGGAGATGCAGAAAAAAATGCCCAGCAAGTATAAACTCCATCCTGAGTTTCTCCCCAAAAGCTGTAAAGTCAGTTGAAAAAAAGTTACTTATAAAGTGGCTGTTTTCTTCAGGCCTTTTACCTTGGGCGCTGTGGGTTTAGTCATCCTGAGCAACATGAAGGTCTCTGCTCCCTCAGAGAACTGCAGTCTCTCTCAAAGACCCACAGAGGCTGTGCCACCCTGCTCACAGCGTTGTTTTGAGTTGGATTGACTGGATGGTATTGAGTCTATTTGTTTGCTTTTTGTGGGCTTAATAATAAAACTTTTTCTAACAGAGTAAAGTTTGTTTCTTTTGAAACAAGGAAATTATTTATTCTTGGTTTCCTTTTTACTATCATATTTTTTAGGAATTAATATTAAAGTCCCACATAAAAGGGGGGAAACGTGCATTTGTTATAAGTCTTACTAGGGTGAAGGGACCCTGGAGAACTGGAACCGTACCTGCCCACGTCAGAGAGGGACACTGTGAGATTACTTTGAATTAGGCCATGCGGCTATTATTGTTTTGTTTGTTGGCTTGTTTCAAAAGTCAAGCTTCAGATTTGTCAGTTTGTCCTGATTACACCAGACTTGAATGTCCTTCCTCTTAGGAGACAGCACACATGAGCCACCGGAAACAGGAATGACGCAGTGGCACATTTATCAATGGTTCATGTTGTTGTGGTTAGGGGCCCTCCAGTCCATCCAACTGGTAGAGACCTTGTGCACCGGAGAAGAAAAGGCTGCCCAGTCCTGCCCCAGAGCCTGCCATGAACTGTGTGTTACTCTCTCTCTCTCTCTCTCTCAGGGTTTCTTCCGCCGGACTATTCGGCTAAAGCTGGTTTATGACAAATGCGATAGAAATTGCAAGATTCAGAAAAAGAATCGAAACAAGTGCCAATATTGCCGTTTCCACAAGTGCCTCTCAGTGGGGATGTCACATAATGGTAGGTAAGGCCAGCACCACGCCTCCCCACTTCCCCCTCAGCTAGCTCTCTCTCTGAGCCGGTGGCGGGGTGGGGGTGGAAGTGTTGCCTTTCAAATGAGCAGGCTCTGTCCTGGAGCCTTTGCTCGTGTTAGTCACCAAAGGTGGGAGTCTGGAATAGCTGAGATTCAACAGGACCTTGCAGTGAGTGCTAGCCTTTCAAGTGCTAGCTAAGGCTTGGACCCAAATTCTGAAACCAATTAGATATCATATTTAAATCACACATGGGAAGTGTGTCGCTTTCAACATGTTACTGTACAAGAGGGCTTCAAAAATTCCTGGGAAAATCCCAGTCTTTTTCATTCTGCTTTTCCACGAAATTTGGGAAGCGCCCTCGTATTGTGACTTTCATTATATTCCCACTAAGTCTAATGCTAGAACGTTATCTATAGGAATCCCAGCGGGGCAGAAATGGTTAAGTGCCAACTGCTAGCTGAAAGGTTCGAGGTTGTAACTCACCCAGAAGTGCCTTGAGACACCGGCCTGGTGATCTTCTTCTGGAAGGTTCCAGCCTTGAAAACCCTATGCAGCAGTTCTGCTCCGTACACATGGGGTCGCCAGGAGTCAGAATCAACTTCAGGGGCAACTAAGTCCGCCCGGTACTTTAAGAAGCAAATGTAAACTAAATTACTCGTTCGTTCCAGTTGGACCTTCACCTATGGCGAAAGAAAAGGAAGTGTGTCAGACTCGTTCTCGGGCTTGTGGTTCTCCTCTGACAGGCTCAGTTGTCTAGCTGAGAGTGGATAACAACCTTAACTTACCCGCTCGTGGTGGGTGTTGGGCTGTGAACCGCAGTCTGCGGTTGGAAACCAGCAGCGGCGCTGCAGGAAGATGAAGCCTCCACTCCTGTCAAGCTTTCTAGTCTGAGAAGCCCCCGGGACAGTTCACGCCCTGCCCAGTAGGGCAGCATGAGTCAGAAGGGGCTTGGCGGCAGGGAATTAGTTAATGAAATGAGAAATGATGGGCCGTTAGGGTGTGTAAATGTCTCTATGTGATTTTGGAATTTTTCGTTCTCTCCAAAAGTTCGAGTTGAGTAGCAGTGAGCCAGCGTGTGGCCTCTGCGGTCAGGTTTCACTTGTAGCATGACTCCTGGTTCGAGCCCGTCATTCAGCCATTAGTCACTGTCTGTGTTGCTTCCACCACTGTGTTGTTCATTTCTGTTTGTCCCCCATTATTCCATTTCCCCACCCCACCCCCCAGCAATTCGTTTTGGACGAATGCCCAGGTCCGAAAAAGCCAAATTGAAAGCAGAAATTCTGACTTGTGACCATGACGTGGAAGACTCTGAGACGGCAGATCTGAAATCTCTTGCCAAGAGGATCTATGAGGCCTATTTGAAGAACTTTAACATGAACAAGGTCAAAGCCAGAGTCATCCTTGCAGGAAAAGCCAGCAACAATCCAGTAGGTGTCTTTGCTGCTGTTTTATTGTCACCCCTGAAGTGGCCCATTCACTCTGACAACTGCAGTCCCAGAGGAGCTCAGGGACAGCTCTGAGACACGTGGAGACGACAGCGTGTGTGCAGAGGCTAACGAGGGACTAGGGAATGAGAGAGATCCGAGATCCTCCCCAGACTCTAAAATGCCGCTCACTAGCAACTCCCATGTAAGTTAAGTTAGTTAAGTTAGTTCACCGGAAGGAAACACTGCCCGGCAGCCCTGCGCCACCCTCACAACCGTTGCTGTGTTTGAGCCCACTGTCGCAGCCGCTCCTGTGCCAGCCCCTCTTGGGGTGGGCCTTCCTGTTTTCCCTGACCCTCCACCTTAACCTTCATGATGCCCTCCTGATAGGGTCCACAGGGTGCTGCAGAGCAACCGAGCTTTCTCATGACTCTGTAAGTAACAAGGAGCCCTGGCCATGGAGTGGGTTATGCACTGGGCTGCTAACCGCAAGGTCAGCAGTTTGAAACCACCAGCCTCTCTTCAGAAGAAAGATGAGGCGCTCTGCTCCGTAAAGAGAGACAGTCTCAGAAACTCGCAGGGGCAGTTCTACTCTGTCCTGCAGGGGCACTAGAGGTCGGTGTTCACTCAATGGCAGTGAGTTTAGTTTTGATGTAATTAACCACCACCTCACCCCACCTCCCAAAATCTCATCAATTGATTACCATGTACAAAGGTCATTCCTTAAGGGCAGCTTTTTAAAAAATCTTGATTTTTTTTCAGGCCACAAAAATGAAGTGGTTCATTCCCACTTAAAATGTGTGGTTGGCTTGTTCCTCCGAAAATGACTCTTCTCACCTCTTCAGCTCCCCTGCCCACTCCCACCTGCTTTTTCTGTGACAGGGCATTTATTAGAAGCTACGTATGTTGTCTTTTTGGGGGGTGGGGTGGAGACATTTCCCGACCTCTTCAGTCAGAACTAAGGTTGCCCACCGAGGAACCTCCTTACTTTTCCCCACCCACCTGCCTAAGTCACACCGTCCTGCGTCCACCCCCCAGCCAAATAGGCTTTGCCTCCACAGTGCAACTCACCTCAGAGCTGCCTTCAAAGAAAGGGACAGCTGGAGGTTGGGGATTAAGATATTTTATCTTTTTCCTATGAACATGGACAAACAAGTTTAATTCATACTAATGGATACTTCCAAGCAATCCTTATTGGGGATTACAAGCTGGAGTCTTTAGTCAGAGCAAGGTAACACATTTCACAAGCTACTGACTGCTTTCATGAACAGATCTTTTTTACTGAGTCAGTATATCCTCCCATTAAATCTGCCAAGAGGTTTTGGAAGAGTGCGCAAATGCTAGTAACTTGGCAATACCGTGTGCATGCTGAGTGAGCCCAGTGGGACAGACAGGTGAGACCCTGTCTCCGTAAGAAGGGTGGAAGCAGAGCTTTCCTGAGAAAGGGTTGGCCTAAGTTGACCGTAGAGTAACCAGAGCGTTCGTTCGTCTATAGTGAAACACAACATTCCTACTTAATGTGAATCTGGTTTCCACGGGTGACCTTTGGCATCCCCCACCAAGACAGAAGACAGCCTGAGGAGGCAGGTTGGGAGGGACTCTCACACGGGGAGGAGACAGGGTGTCAGGTGTGTCAGTTCCCTCGGGAGGGAATCAATCACAGTGTCGTGGTTGGGACTGAACGCTTTGTTATACTTCCAGGAGTCAGATGCCTCCTCTCCTGGGCTCTCAGCCCCAGGCTCACGTGCAGCGCCCCTGCTGGGGTGGAGGCTCATTGCATGAGCTATCCTGGGCCTCAGGCCAGCCTCCGTCCTGCATTAACTCCTTCCCCGCCCTCTCCCTGCCCACCTGCCGGCTGCTTGCCACAGCCAATGCAGGGCTCCAACCTCCTCCTCTCCAGGTGTATAGCTCAGTCTAGAAAAGACCCTGCAGGCTGCCACCCCACCCACCAGCATGCAGTATAATGAATTCCTCTGGTTTAGTCCCCCCAATGGGCGGCTGAGGACCATACTCTGTGTCTTGTACATGACTCAGAAGCAGCTCAGTGTCCGAGGGGCACCTGGCATATCAGACTTGATAGATAAATGAGCCCCACGGTTCCATAATCACCCCATTGAAAAGTTCTACGCAGGGATGACACAGTACTTATTAGGGAGGTGGGATTGGCTTTCTCAATATCCCAGCCGTCGGGTGAGGGAAGCTGTTGTTGAGAGGACGTGGGTGTCGACAGTTTGGTGACTAACACCTGCCACTTCCGAGGGAGCCCCTGGAGAGGGGAAGGGGCATGACTTAGGTGTTCAGACTGCATCAGATGTGGTCACGGGGCTCTGGTGAAGGTGGCCTTGTGCCCCAGTGAAGTACACCATGGTGCAGTCGTGCCAAGACCCAAGGCTGAGCCTGCCGCCCTCCACCCTGGCCTCAGAGTTGTTAAGAGCTATAAGAGACTACAATAAAATTATCTTTTAATAAAAATTTTTTAAAATGATATATGGAGGAAACATCCCAACCCAGGTCAACTGAAGTCCATAAGTCCGATACTAGTCCATAAGTCCTTCTTCAGACTCACGCAGCCACATGCAAGGATGCAGAATGCAGGAAGGTCACAGGTATCACAGGCCGGTGGGTGCAAAGTCTTATGGTGGTGGAAGCATCACAGGGTTCTGGCAAGCCCTAAAGTGGCCGGCCAGCAGGAAGGTGAAGGCAGAGAGAAGGGAGAAGGATTCCCAGGACCCTCCTTCTGAGGCCACACCCACAAGGAGTCACCATCAAGCTAGGACCTGATTGACAGGCTAAACTCCACCCCTGCACTTTTCTATTTCTTCAGGTTGACATGAAATTATCTAATGACCACAGTACTCAGGTGAGGAAGCTCACAGTCCCACTGGTTTGAGGTAAAACCAGTGCTTTTGCCACAGTGGCTTTAAAGATCATCTGTTGGCTAGCCAGGAGCTCAGAGTATCAGGAAGAGACGTTTGAGGAAGCGGCCTGAAGAGGAGAGCCTGTGGGGAGTGTTAACAAAGGCCAGGTCTTTCCCGTGATGTCTGTGCCTCACTTTTCTTGCTTCTGACAAAGCTACTGGCTGCACTTCTCCCAAGACAGTTTTGTCTGTTCCTCTGCAGTCCATGGGAAAGATTTAAAGAGAAACCAACCAACAATGCCACTGCCATCGAGGCCACTCTGACCCATGCTACCCTATTAGGGGCAGAGTAGAACTACCTCTGTGGGTTTCTGGGATGGGGGTAGAAAGCCTCATTTTCCTCCCCTGGAGCAGCTATAGCCTTTGAACTGCTGACTCTGTGGTTAGCAACCCAACCAGTCACTCACCATGCCACCAGCCCTACTGCCTATAAGACCTCAGGGGCCAATTCTATGCTGCCATGTAGGGTCACCACAGAATTTCTGTATAGCTTCAGTCAACATCGGTTTTCTGGTGCTGAGCATTTGTTTTAAATCCACATGGTTTTCCCATGACGTTTTTCTGACGGCTCTCAAGATGTTCCCTTTGTCTTAGGGTTTCAGCAGGTGAGCCATGACGAGCCTCTGATTGTGTCCTGCCGGGGGTCCTTGTCTCCTGTTTCCAACATCTGATCATGTTGGTGCTAGTCTCCACTGATGTATTTTTTTCCCCCTTCTCTCAAGAAGGGTCACATTCCTCTGGTTCTTCATGTATGAAGTACTTCAGGATTGTAGTCTAGACATCCCGAACATTCCCTGGTGGAGACTGAACTCCGTCATATTCTGATGGAGAGTGTGGGCATGTGTTGTTTTTGTTTGAGTGGGTAGCCTCCTTGGTTAGACTCGAGCTGTAAACACCTCCCCTGTATGGGGAAGAAGTTCACATTTCAGCCCAGTTTAGCCCCAACCCATATCCACCCCACACTTGCTTTGGGCTCAGGAGTTGACATTTGGACAGAGCTTACACCCAGAATTTGAGGCTCCCTCCTCCAGCTTAGTTCTACCCATATCTTATATCCGGGGGCTACAGTTGTCCCCAGAAGCCCTCTGGCCCACCAGGCCTGCAGGTCTTGAGTCCTCCTGCCCTTGTGCTAAAAGCTGGGCAAACGAGAGCACTTGGGCCTGGCTGTCACCCCTTCCGAGGTGGGCGGACTCCCTCTAGATCCCACCTGCTTGCATTCATCTTCCAGTGCCTTCGGTCACTGGAGTTTTTTCTTTCATCCAGAACTCAGTTATCTGTGGGAGGGCCCAGTCTGATAGGAAGCACTCTGCCATATTGCAGAAGCCTCTTGGGTTTGATGCTGTTGTCCATGGTCTATTCTTCTACCTTTAAGCTGAGCTGCCCCCAAATGTGGTCATTTGGCCCATTTTTAAGGTCTTTAAGGAGAGTCTTCAGAGGTCTCCCTAAAGGTGCCCTGAAGTGGCTGGCACTTCCCTGGGTGCTTGCCTAAGCCCCAACAAGTAGAGGCTACTTCCTGTCCCAGGTCCAGTCACATGGGCGGTGAAGTTCCCCAATGACCTGAAGAATGGATTTACGCTCCTAGAGTCCAGTAGGGATTGAAAACCTGCCTCGGAAACCCACAGGGGCAGTTCCACTCTGTCCTACAGGGTCACTTTGCGTCAGAATCACGGGGGCAATGAGTTTTGGAGAAGGAAAGGTGGCTGTAGTCTTCCTTAGTGAGTCTTCGAGGGTAAGACTGAGCTTTCTGCTCCTACAAACACGTCTCGGAAACCCCCAAGGGGTCGCTATGAGTCAGCACTGACTTGATGGCAGTGAGTTTGGCTTTTGGTTGATGAGCCTTGAGGGATCTGGAAAAACGTGACTTTGAGTTTTCACGTCTTCGTGGAAAATTTCATGGATAAATATCCCCTTTCCTCCAATGTGGCATCGAATACGCTTTTTTCCCACTATGGATTACAAATTCTGACTCTGTTTAAGCATTCCAAGAGATCCCTTTGTTGTTATCAACTCCAGCACTCTCCCCTGGCCTCCACTCGGGGCCTCCCCAAAGGCGCCCTGAAGTGGCTGTGTGATGTGACTTCTTTGGGTGCTGGCCGGAGCCCCAACAAGGTCCAGTCACATGGGCAGTGAAAGCCCTGGTCATTTTAAGGATTGCTCTATGCTCATGGGGTCCAGTATGGCTTGAAAACATGCCTCAAACCATGACCTTGAAAGGTAGTAAAATAAAAGAGAACAAAACAAACATGACCTTGAATGAACAGCTATAGGAACCTTGGCTGCAGTGCTTAAGCTCTTGGGGTACCGACTGGCCATTCAGACCCAGTAGCAAGCCCATGAGAGGAAGAAGTAGCAGCCTCCTGTGAAGATGTAAAAACCTCAGAAACCCAGTGGGGGCAGCACTGCTCTGTCCTGTAGAGTCTGTATCAGTCAGAATTGACTCAGCGGTAATGTATTTGGGGGGAGAGGGGTTTGGTATCAAATAACTGTGGATCTCTAATAGTGCAACATTTAAGCACTCAGTTGCTAACCAAAAAGTTGGTGGTTTGAACCCACCCATGCTAGAAAACCCTGTGGGGAAATGCTGTTATTTAGGGTTGCTACGAGTCAAAAAGAGATAGGTAAAGTACCTTGTAAATCAGAGTCATGTCTTAATCGTGTTATTTCTTCTGCTCAACACTGAGATTGCATTTTGACCAGCAGCAGTCTCCATGCCCCACCAGATATACATGATCTCTTCCTGATACTATGGAGTAGACATTGGACTACTAACCACAGAGTCAGTGGTTCAAGTCCACCGATTTCGCCACAGGAGAAAGATGAAGCTCTCTGCTTCTGTGAAGATTGGTTGTTGTTGTTGTTGATTCTGTTACGACGCCACTGAGCTGGTTCTGACTAAGACCGACCCTGTAAGCCACAGAGGAGGACACTACTGGTCCTGCGCCGTCCTCACCATTGTTCTCACGTGTGAGCCCCGTGCTGCCGCCACTGTGTCCATCCTCCTTCTGGCTGGCCCTTTACCAAGCATGATGGCCTCCAGGGATAGGTCTCTCCAGATAACATGTCCAAAGTATGTAAGATAAATCTCCATCCCTGCCTCTAAGGAGCATCCTGGCCGCACTGCTTCCAACGCAGACCTGTTTGTGGACGATTTACAGCCCCAGAAATCCAATATAGTGTCGTCACTGTGATTCAGAATGGACTTGATGCAGTGAGTTTGGTCTGGTCTGGGGGCACATTAGTTCCAAGCAACATGGCCAGCCATCTCTTCTTTCCACCACTCGATCTTTCTAAGGTGACGGGACCAGAGGATTTGGGTTTAGAAGGTCCGGGAGCACATGGAGAGCTTCCCCAAGGGGGTTGTCACTTGTAGCAAGACATGATGTGAAGGTTTCAGTCTGGTGCCCACAGAGACAAGGTTCCTTCAAGGCTGTTTCCGTGGATTGTGGGAGCACAAGGGTTTATGCATGCCCAATGTGTCCACCCAACAGTCTGTACCAATGATGACAGTTCATGCCAAGGCTCGTAGAACAGGTCATATTGAGAATGAGTGTCTAGAAGATGGCTGCAGTAGTACCTAGGAATCCAGAGATCACTGTAACCTGGGAAAGGTGCTCTGATGTTTGTCCCTTGTTCACTTCCCTGCCAGCATCAGTCCTTGAGCTCCTTAGCAGGGAATTCCCGCCCGGAGTCAGACAATGATGATCTATACTGTTGGCTTCCCATGACTGTCCCTTTGAAGGGTCTGAGGACTGTGTCGGGCATACCTTTGGAGTTCTCCGAGGGCCCACGTGTGATGCTCAGTCGTTGATTGATCGTTCACAGTGTGCTTGCTGTAGAGTCTGTTGACACTTACCCTAGTATCTATCCTTGCAGCCTTTCGTCATACATGACATGGAGACACTGTGCATGGCTGAGAAGACACTGGTGGCCAAGCTGGTGGCCAATGGCATCCAGAACAAGGAGGCAGAGGTCCGCATTTTCCACTGCTGCCAGTGCACGTCAGTGGAGACCGTCACAGAGCTCACCGAGTTTGCCAAGTCCATCCCCGGCTTTGCCAACCTAGACCTGAATGACCAGGTGACTTTGCTGAAGTACGGTGTCTACGAGGCCATATTTGCGATGCTGTCTTCGGTGATGAATAAAGATGGGATGCTGGTTGCATACGGAAATGGCTTTATAACACGAGAATTCCTCAAGAGCCTCCGGAAACCATTCTGTGACATCATGGAACCCAAGTTTGACTTTGCAATGAAGTTCAATGCCCTGGAGCTGGATGACAGTGACATTTCCCTCTTTGTGGCTGCGATCATTTGCTGTGGAGGTGAGTGACCACCCAGCCTGTGCACACCTCAAGGTTGACAGGTTCCAGTCTTGAAGAACTGAGGGGACTCCAGTGTCCCCTCAGCTGGAGCGGGTCCATGGTGTGAGCACAGGAAGGGTCAGTGCATTTCTGCTGCCAAGGCCTCAGTGACGTCATAGGCCTCCCGCCAGTATTGTGATGTCCCAGACACTCACTCACTGCTGCCAAACCCATCCCAACTCAGAGAGCCCCTGTAGGGCAGGGTGGAGCTTCCCCTGGGTGCTTCTGAGGCTGTAAGTCTGAACAGAAGTAGAAAGCCACGTCTCTCTCCCTTGGAGCAGCTGGTGGGTGCAAACTATTGACTTTGTGATTAGCAGCCCCACCCACAATCTACTGCCAGGACTCCTGGAAGTTCCAGGCAGGTATTAGTAATTTTCAGGATATTTCATCCCGAAAAATACTAGCATCTAGCTGGCGATGGTACTAGGTTTGCTGTGCCTGAGGAAATGAATCCCCGTGGAGAAGAATCTGGGCCTCTGCAGGGCACTTGCCTCCAAAGCCCTTGGTTTTTGGCTCCAGGAGAGGGTCCTTTAAATAGCTCTGCCCCAGGGCTGGGAAGGTCATGCCTCTACTGTGAACTCAGCAGACCTTCTGTAGCTTTGGCAGAGGCTGACTGGGAAGTGACCCTGCCATGGTACTGGAAATCACACCAATCCTCCTGGTTCACGGATATCTAGAAACGAGGCTGCTGGCAGCCTCCTACAAGCCTAGAGTGGGGCCGCCTGCCACCTCCGAGCTGCTGCCCAGCAGGTCTGCAGTTGGACAGGAAGCACTTATGGTACCTGTATGTCACGCTGAAGTGTTGTGCATAAAAGCAATATTGTAACTTTATATGGAATATGATCCTGTTTTTATGAAAGGAATTATATCACACGCACACACACACACAACTTTCATTGAGTCAGTTCCAACTCAGAGTGACCCTGTAGGATTCGAAAGCCTCATCTTTCTCATTCAGAGCAGTTGGTGGGTTCTAGCTTATGGTTAGTAGCCCACCAGGGTTCAAATATATGTGTGTTCTTATTGTGAAATGCCATCGAGTCCGTTCTGGATCACAGGCACCACATGGACAGCAGAATAAACACTGCCCGTCGTCAGCGATCCTCGCTGCTCTGTCAGAGCCCACTGTGACGGCCACTGTGCAAGTCCATCATGGTACTCTAAAGAAGGGGTCTTCAAAAAGTTTCTGGGAAGAGGAATTAAGGGATAATGAAATTCTTCCATGAACTTTCTGAAACCCCCACCCCATATATGTAAACACAGATGGTGAGATAAACATTAAACCTGCATCAGTTAAAATTATGAATGGTGTCAGGGATTGAGTGATATCCCACCCAAAAATATGTGCCAATTTGGCAGTATCACGATTCTCTGGCTTGGCTCTTCTGTGATAACATACGGGGAACTTATGTAATGATCCCACATAATAGAATCTGATGAGATAACCAGCCAATTGTAAAGGATTGGTGGTGGCATAAATCACCCTTAATCCTATCATATCTCTAGTCTGGTGTAAGATGTCTACTTAGATTGTGGCCTGAGATGCCTTTACCTTACAAGAGATAATGGGAGAAAGAAGTGAGCAGAGAGCGGAGGGAACCGCTACCACACGAAAGCAGAGTCTGGTGCACGGCACTTCTCTTGGACCCAGGTCCCGACACGAACAACCTCCTGACTCGGGGGAAGACGGATGCTGAGAAACAGAGAGATCTCCAAGGAAGGTGGCCAAATCCAAGTGGAGTGGTATCGAATTCATCATCAAAAAGAACACTTCAATAGCTCTTGAAATACAATACTGTCTCTGATAAGATACCTACACACCTACCAGAAAGTCCAGTCAGTACACCTGTTACTCAAAATTAGGCAACAACCACTAAAACCAGTGATGAAGAATGAAAGAATTCTATCAGTTTCTTTAGTCTGAGACTGATCAAGCATGCACTCAAGATGTATTGATAATCACTGGTGATTAGAATGAGAAAGTGGGAAACAAAGAGGAAGGACCAGTGGTTGGAAAAAATGAATGGCCTTGGGGATAGAAATGAAGCTGGAAATTGGATTTTGCAAGACTGACTTCTTCGTTGCAAATCCCTTTCTTCAACAACATAAGCAGTGACTGTACACATGGACCTTACTAGGTGAAATAGACAGAAATCAATTTAACTACATCTGTGGGAAGAGACGATGGGGCAGCACAATATCAGCCAGAGTACGCCCAGGATCTGACTGTAGAACAGATCATTAATTACTCATATGTAAAGTCAGGGCGACCCTGAAGTAAAAAAACAAAAAACAGCTCCATAAAAATATGACCTTGAATATATCCCACTTGAATTTAGATAATATCTCAAAGGCAGATTGATGCATTGAACACTTAGGACTGAAGAGCTGACAAGTTGTGGGATGACATCAAGAACATCATATGCTAAGAAAGCAAAAGGTCACTGGGAAGACGAGAAAGAAAGAAAAAACTAAGGTGGTTGTCAGAAGAGACTCTGAAAGTTTCTCTTGGACATAGAGTATCTAAAATGAATGTGAGAAATGAAATAAAACCGGCAAACAGAATGTTTCAAAGGATGGTTCAAGAAGACAAACTATAGTATTATAATAAAATGTGCAAAGACCCAGAGTTAGAGAAGAACATGGTTATCATCTCAAGCTGAAAGAACTAAATTTTTAAAATTCAAGCCTAGAGTTGAAATATTAAAGGATTCTGTGGGCAAAATGTTGAACGATGCACGAAGCATCAAAAGAAGGTATAAGGAATACAAAGAGTCACTGTACCGAAAATAATTCAGGCATTTCAAATAGTATATGACCAAGAACTAATGGTATTGAAAGAAGATGTCCTAGTTGCACTAAAAATATTTACCCCCAAAAAAAGGATCCCTAAATTGACAAAATACCCATTGAAATGTTTACCAAAAGCAAACGGATACAGCACTGGAAGCACTCACTGGTCTTCAGCTGGTTCTCTAGAGAAGCCAAGCAGTTAAGTTTATAGATGTTGTTTATGTTGCGATTTCTATCGAGAATGCGACTCACACAATTGTAGAAGCAGACAAGTTCCAAGTCCATGGGTCACATATGAGCTTGGAAGCATCTGTGGATTGGACTAGTTCCCACAGCTGATGAACCCAAGACTGTCAGAAAGATGACCTGCTGGTGACTGGAGAATCCAAGCTCAGCAGCAAGGCCACTGAGGAGGACTCCAAGGATCAGCAGGCACTAGGTCAGGCCATTGGCTTAAGTCCAAAGAACTGGAGATTGACAAGCTGGATGCAAGATCCAGACCCAGCAAAAAGCAAGCAAGTTTTTCCACAATAATTGTCGAAGTATATTGGAAGTGGGCCACACCCCGAAGAAGGTCTCATCGTGGAGGGATTACAGGTCTTCACTGCCAAACCATCGAGAAAATTAATCCAGCCAAGGTGGCACAAAACCTTAACTATCACAAGGACTAAGGTGTGTCCAGCTCAACCCAGTATATTTTTCCAATTGCTTGATATGCATGTGAAAGCTGGACAATTAATAAGGAAGATCGGGAAAGAATCAATGCTTTTGAATTATGGTTTTGGCAAAAATACCGAAAGTACTATGGTCTGCCGGAATGCTCTTCAACGTGAAGAGGGAGAGATTTCTCCTCACACGCTGGAGACAGCATGTCAGGAGGGTAGGCAGGAAGAGAAGGAAGACGAGATGGATTGACACGGTGGCTTCAGCGATGGGCTCAGACATCAGAACAACGGTGAGAAGGCACAGGACCAGCAGGCCTTGCGTCCCGCTGCACAGGGGGTGGCTCGGAGTCAGAAATCCAACATCACACCAATGGTGAGGATGGCACAGGGCCAGGGAGGTCTCTAGGAGTCAGAATCCACTTGACCACCACCAACAGCAACATGGAGAATCATAGTGCTGCATAGGGCTATAACGAAGCACAAGCTGAATTCAGGTGGTGTTTTCTGACCTCAAAGGTAGGATGCATGGCCCCAGGTGTTCCAGGAAGTCCAGTGTCCTTCCCACAGGGTGTTCACCTGCATGGAATCTCAGTCCTTCCCTGTCCCCCTCGCCATTTCCGTCCTCTGGATCAGAGTTCATTTTGCTCTCTCCTTGGATGAGGTAGAAAAGTCACTGCCATGGGGCTGATACCTCCATGTACGAAGTCTGACATCAGAAACTTGTACAGCCCACTGCCATTGAGTCTATCCCAGGAGTCATGGTGACCCTATAGGACAGAGTAGATCCCTAGAGGTTCTATGGCTAAGTCTTCACAGTAGCACACAGCCCCATCTTTCTCCCCCAGTGCAGCTGGGGGTGCGAAACCTAGACCTTATAGCTAGCAGTACCATACTTCCAAGCCTTGGCCCCTGACATCCTGTTGTTGGTAGTTGCCATCGAGTTGGTTCCGACCCATAGCAACCCTATGCACAACGGAACCAAACACTGCCCGTCCTGCACCATCCTCACACGTGTTCCTGTGCTGCAGCCCTGATTGCAGCTGCTGTGTCCGTCCACCTCGTTGAGCGCCTTCCTCTCGGGTGCTCCCCCTCTACTCCGCCAAGCATACTGTCCTCCTGGCATCCCCGCACCATTTAAATACTTCTGAAAAATTAGGAACCGATACTTAGTTTTTACTCAAGAGGAAGCAGTTGATTTCCTATGTCATGTAAGATTGGTTGACGTCAACATCAGAACATATAGTTACTGATATTTTTGGAGGGTTTTTCTGACAGGTCATATCCAAGTAGTACACAACAGTGGGTCAGCATTATCAGGTATATAGGCAACTTTAGGTGGTACAGAACCATGTGTCAATACTTAGAAGTGGATGCCAGTCCTGTGAGGCTTAGCAATTTCGGAAAAGCCTGTTTCTAGCACTTAGTCAAATTGGCAATATCTAAAGGGAGCCAGGGTGTTTATAATGGAGAGGAGGTAGGCAAAACAAAAACGAAACCCTGTGCCATCAAGCCGATTCCAACTCATGGAGGAACTCCATAGGGTTTTCAGGGGTAGCACAAATGGCTAAATGCTTGGCTACTGGCCAAAAGGCTAGCAGTTCAAATCCACCCAGAGGCCTGTAGAAGACAGGCCTGGTGAGCAGCTTCCGGATGGCCCCACTGTCTTGAAAACTCTTGGAAGACATTATGCTCTGCACACATGGGTCATCATGAGTCAGAGTCAACAGAGGGGCAACCAACAACAATAATCATCTTTACAGAAGCAGGTCACCACACCTTTCTTCCCGTGCACTGCTGGGCGGGTTCAAATGACAAAGCTTTAGACTGGAAGCGGGTCACAAACTGTAGGTGCCATCCAGAGCCCTTTTAGCAAGAAAACCAAAAGCCAAACTCATTGCTATCAAGTAGTTGCGGACTCATAGCAACCCTATAGGACAGGGCAGAACTGCCTCTGTGAGTTTCCAAGACTGCCACTGTTTATGGGAGTAGCAAGCCCCGTCTTTCTCCCGAGGAGAGGCTGGTGGTTTCCAATTGCTGACCTTGCAGATCCAAGTCTAATGATTAACGATGCAACTGGGCCCTGTGCTGATGCATAGAGACTCTATAAGCCAGGGTCAAACTGTCCCTCTGAGTTTCTAAGACTGTAGTCCATAGGAGTAGAAAGCCCCATCATTCTCCCTCTAATACGAAAGGCTGTGTGAAATAGGAAGGTTGAGTGCTAACGTGAGTGTCTGTGATCTCTAGTACTGTTCTAACCAGAATTCCACAGGTGGCTGCCTTTTGCCAACAGAAATTGAATCTCCCACAGTGTTGGCAGTGGGAAGTGAGTTCAGTGGGCTGACTCTATGAGGGGAAGGAAGGCTTTCTCTCTGTGTTGGCTCTGAAGGAAGGCCCTGGTCTTTTTTCAGCTTCCACTCCTGCACCAGCTTCCTGTGGTGAGACATCTGCCTTGGCCTATCTCTGCTTCTTAGCTTGCTTGTTTAATCTCTTTACATCTCAAGAGAGATGAACTCTAGACATCACCTACACTACTCCTATGTCATTCACCTAACAAAGACAAGCATTTCTCCAGTGGGATTGATTACAACCATTGGCAGGTGGTGATGGTGGCTGTTAGGTGCCACGGAGTCAATTTGGGCTCAAAGTGACCCTATGTAGTACAAAAACACTGTCCAGTCCTGCCCCGCTGTTATGGTTAAGCCCATCGTAACTGTTATCGTTAAGCCCATTGTTGCAGCCACTGTGTCAACCTATCCCATTGACAGCCTTCCCCTTTCTTGCTTGACCAAGCATGATGTCCATCCCCTGGGACTGCTCACCCCTGAGATGATGTCCAAAGTACATGAGATGAAGTCTCCCCAGCCTCTCTCTTAAGGAACATTCTGGATGTACCTCTTCCACACATATCTGTTTGTTCTCCTGGAAGTCCCCCAGTACTTTCAATATTCTTTGCCAACACCAGAATCCAAATGCATCCATTTTTGTCCAGTTATCCTATATTCCTTGTCCGGCCTTCACATGCACACGAGGCGATTAAAAACATTAATGCTTAGGTCAGGCACACCATAGGCCTTAAAAGCATAATGGTTCGAATTCACCTGCATCGTGGTTTGTATTCACAACACATATCTCAGATAGGAAGGTCACAGTTCAATCTGGCCAACGCTTGATAATCCTCCTCTCAAACCTCTCCTCTTTTTCTATTGAGACTAGATCGCCCCGGGCTATTGAACGTAGAGCACATCGAAAAAATGCAGGAGGGCATCGTGCACGTGCTCCAGCTCCACTTGCAAACCAACCACCCTGACGACAGCTTCCTCTTCCCCAAATTGCTCCAAAAGATGGCAGACCTGCGGCAGCTGGTTACGGAGCATGCGCAGCTCGTGCAGATCATCAAAAGGACGGAGTCGGACGCGGCGCTGCACCCGCTGCTGCAGGAGATCTATAGGGACATGTACTGAGCTCGCGTGTGCACAGAAGACGCGAACGCCCTGGGGGAGACCGCGCTGGCAGCACTGCCGTTGGGAGATCGGAGCCACAGGACTGCAGACATTGCCACCTTCACCCCCGGGAAGGAAGGTGTCCGTCATCCGGGTTCTGCAGCGTTTCTCTGGTTCCTGACAGTACACCAAAGTGGCATGCCAGGTGTCCAGCTTTGGGCAACATGGCTGCTAGGAATCTGGGCGGTGGAGGAGAAGCGTTCAGCATCGGATCGCACGCAGGTTCTCTTCCTCAGCACTAGTGGTTGGCCCTGCCCTTCTCTGGTGATGTCAGAATGATACGGTCCGCCTTCCCGTACTACCACCCCCACCCCTATTTCCCTGACCCTCGTTTTGACCCTTGAGCTCCTTTGCCATTTTGGAAACTAATCAGCACTTTCTAACTATTTTTAAAATTTTATCTAGATGTGATCCAAAGACTATTAGCTATGTAAAAAAAACACAAACTATTTATTTGGAAGACACTCGATTCTCTCTGCTGACCTGCTGGTGTAGAATCACAGGATTGAGGCTTTTAAAGAAGCGTTTTGGTGGTTGTGGAGTCCTGGAAGCACAGTGGTTCAGCCCACATGCTGCTCCCTGGAGGGGAGGGGGTGGGCGGAGGTCGATGGGCGTTAGGTAAAGCCCACAGCCTTGGAGACCCTGTGCAGTGTCCACCCTGTCCTGCAGGATTGATTTGAGGATGGCAGTTTGGTTTTACATTGTTGCGACTAAACATTGTCTCAAGACCCTTCCCACCCCAAGACTCATGAGACACCTGTGAAGAAGCAGCGTCTAACATCCCTGACAGGCTGCTGGGCCCTGCTCCTCCCTCAGATCCAAACAGGTCCACCTGCTCAGGCCGGGCGCCCTCCTGTTTTGAAAGCCAGCAGACAAGGGATTCTCAGAGGCGCCAAGGTATCTTCTTTTACTGATTTAAAAATTTTTTTTAACACATGAAGCTTTACTATTGGTTTGTTTTTTTAACCCTTTATGGCAGATGCTTGCTGCAGTGGACGTGGGGGCAGGGTGGGAGTCAGCCTGGAGCATCAGAAAGGCCTGGACTGCCCTTCAGACGGAGGCTGTAGTTTATCTCCAATGCATAGCAGCTCAATGCCTTGAACAAAGACTTAGAAGAGTTTCCCAACGTGGGTGATGGGAGGTGGTGTTGGAATGACATTGGAATACCTACACTTTATCCTGGATTATAAGAGTGTTCACGTTTTTCAGTGTAGGGAAAGTGGGGAGATGGTCTGGGGGTTTTTTTTCTTTGAAAAGTGGGTGGTAAGCCTAGTAAGTTGGGAACAGATGGCCTAAACCATGAGCGCCCCCTTTCAGACTATAGGTAAGGCAATGGTTCCAATGTGTAAAGGTATTTGAGCCTTCAAGGTAAACTTCTCCACCTCAGTCCAGTTGGGAGTGCAGTATGACAGTGGGGTTTTTCTGTCTAGGAAGATGGACCCAGAAATACTAGTGGTGCTTACCAGCCCCCACCCTCCAATCATGGCACCTTCTAAGAATTTCTCACTGCAGTACCTCAAAACCAGACCCTAGCTGAGCTGCCCTAGCCTCCGGGAGGTAGCTGGGAACCTCTCAGACTCATGCCCTTTAAACCTGGGTGAGCTCTGGGCATCCGTTCCTCTGTCCTGGGAAGATTTGGCTCTTGTCAGATCGTTACCTGATGTTGAAGGATGACTGGGTTGAGAAAATCTCCAAGGTGAGCATGCTGAAAATGTGACAGGAGGAAGGACAATCAAACTGAGGCTTCTACTAGGAAAAACCAAGGTGACCATTTCCAACCAGGGCATCATTTCAGCGTGACACATGTCATGGGTTTCGTTGTCTTGTGTGTTTTTGTTTTTAAGAAGCCAAGGCCAAAGTTGTGCTGGCCAGCAGATGCACCAGTCAGCTTGTGTGGCAGGTACTAGGAACTGGGAGCAAATCAAAGCATTCCCTCCTATGAGCTCCCATGTTTTCTTCCTGAGTAAGGACTGGACCAGCCTCATCCTCTCTTGCATCTTTCTCATTCACCCAGCATCTAAAATGTGTTAATACACCCACCAACAAACACATCATCTCGCAAGCCAGCATCAGATGTCTTTTCCTCAAATGAGGCTGGGTGGAGGCTTGGGGAGCCACCAACTCTGAAGAGCTGTTTTGGACAGAAGCCAAAGGCTCCGTGAGTCGGATCTACTGGTCCACATGGGATGAAAAGGGAACAATGACTGAGAAACCACTTTTGTCCTGGATGTGCCGTGTGATGATGGCCCCCACAATGGCCACCGCACTGAGGGCTTGTCCATGGAGTCGCCTGCTCGCGGAGGACAAGCAGAGACATGCTGAGCGCTGTCTGCACTTGGAGAACTGGGGCTCGAGGGCTTTGAAGTGCTTGACTACCAACCAGACCGGTGGTTCCGACCCAGCAAGGGCTCAATGGCACAAAAGGAAGACCTGCTCTGGTGAAGATTTACAGCCATGGAAACCCAGTGGGCGCAGTTCTATCCTATAGGGCCACCGCGAGTCAGCATCCACTCCATGGGGCTGCGTTTGGCTTACAGGGTCTCTGTGAGTCAGCAATGACCGCAGTGTGCTGGGTTTGGGGTTTGGGTAGGAGTTTTAAAAAGAAATGGTGGTGGCGCAATGGTTAAGCCCTCGGCTAATTAAAGGGTCTGAGGTTCAAACCCACCAGCCGCTCCTCGGGAAAAGACTGGCCAGCCGGCTTTTGCAGAGATGTCTCAGAAACAGTATGGGAGCAATTCTGCCATCCCACAGGGTCACTGTGCATCAGAGTTGATGAGAGAACAACAGTCCATAGGTTTGAGCTTACTCAGTAGCTGGCCTGGCCCACAAGTGTCCAGTGATTTGTAATAAGGCCCAGGTTAGCGTTCTGATATAAACAGTGTTTGCTTAGAGTCAAATGGGATGAGCTCCCATGTTTTCTTCCTGAGTAAGGATTGGACCAGCCTCATCCTCTCTTGCATCTCTTTCTCATCCACCCAGCATCTAAAATGTGTTAATACACCACCAACAAACACATCATCTCGCAAGCCAGCATCAATCCCCAGAACTTGGGTCTCCTCTGGAAAGACAAGAAAAAAAGTCAGGGTGTAAGGACCATCCAGTCTCCTAGTCCAGTGGGACATCTGTGGGGAGAACTCAACCCTGCCCCCTCAAGAAAAAAGGGGATCAGGTTTCAAGCGCTTCAGAAGCAGTGAATGAGTCATTTTCCCAAAGGCCAGCCCTCCACCCATTTCTGAAAATGTCTTCTCTTTGGGACAATCTGTTTCATTTTCAACCCTTAACATTCAACAAACAAACAAAAAAATAGGAGTACCTCAAAAAGGATAAATACCACTTAACTTTTCAGGAAGAGGGCTGTATCCGTGCTGCATATCACAATTTTTTTTTCTATACTGTGTGTTTAAAAGAATTGTGTCACTAGTTAGGTCTTAAACACTGTGATTTGAGATTCTAAACAACATCCTAATACATGTGACTAATTGACAATCACGTACCTAGTAACTCAAGCTCAGATTTCCTTGAGATAGTGTTATTGGCTAGAGTGAAAAGCCTGACTCATGGGCCTCTCAGAAACAGAGTTCACATGACTACACACACAGAGACACACAGAATGCTTCTTGTTTCTCCTGAGGCACGAGAACTTGGTGCTTTCCGTATAAATCTGTCCACTTGCTAGAGTTCACCAAGCGCCAGCGATGCTACTCTGATTGCTGTCCCTTCCTGACAGCAAAGCCACCTGAGACGCCAGTGTGAGAGAGGTCATGGGTTCTGTACAGCCGTGTTTTCCCTGAAGAGCCATGATTCCTAAGTCACTAAGAGCTGTCTACTCTTCAGGTAATGATTGCTTGTGGGCGTTCCTGGAGAACTAGGCAGTCTGGAGTCCTGTGGTAGAAATCCTGTGTGCTAACCGGGCTCTGGCATTTGGCAGGTTGCCTTAAGCACAAGGCAGGCCCCATTGTCAGTGGTGGTTTCCAGCACCATTGTAAAACTCTGTTGGGTGTGCATGGGGAACGCCCACTGAAGCCCCACTGTCGACCTGCCCAGACCCCATGACAGGGGTCTGCAGGGGCCCATGGAGGAAGGGCAAGAACTTCCCAAGGACTGAACTTGCTTTTCTGAACCTGCGTTCATCGTTGCTGTTCTCAGGTGCCTTATACTCCCGTGCAAGCACTTAGGGGCTTCCAAACCCCGGTTCTCACAACAGGGGCCCTGACAAAGCAGGCACTGCCACCCAGAGTTCAATGTTCTCTCTCCACTCAGACTCACAAGGAGGGGGGTGCAGGAGCCCAGGCAGCAGACATGCTGGATCAATGGTGAGGCAATTGGTCAATTCATGTTAACTGACCAACAGGTTGGTTCCAAGCCATTAGAAAGTGACTTGGAAATACTGTCACTTCAATTCCTTTTTAAATCTCGGGTCTTACTCCCTTTCTCCTTACAAGAGATTGAGTTCACCTTATGTGCTGATTCTATTGCCTGAATTTATGAGAACTTCTGTCTGGAATGTTCTACTGTTAAGACTGATGAATGTGAAGTTAATTTCAGGGTACAGTTTTGCCTTAATGGTTTTAAAAAAATAAACTATTTTTTAAATTAGTTGGTGAGTTTTCAGTGATGTCTGGTGCCCATTCTGCGACACCAGCCACCTCCCCTAGACACGGATTCCCTGGGTCCTTCAAGGTCAGGTCCAACCTGGGAGAATGAGGTCCCAGGTGCTCTACTGGCACAAACAGTATGTTAGACTTCACAGCGAGGGCATTTTAAAACAAAACCCAGCCCACCCTCACTTAACAGAAGCTCTCCCCTTCTCTCGCCAACCCTGTTCCCAACATTGTGAAGGCCCAAATGTTGGCCATCTTGTTGTGACCCTGAACATGCCTGCCTCTGTCCTAGCGGGAGTATCAACGAAAGTTGTGCCTGTCACTTCTTGGTCAACCCTTCAAAGGAATAAGCACCAGCTCCCCGGCCCTTTCCCAGGGCTGGGAGTCAGGGGGAAGGTGGGAGATGGAAATGGCACAATGGACCCGAGAGAGGACCCTCCCCGCCCTGGACAGCTGCTTCTGGATTCACATACAGAGGAGCAAACAAATGCCCCTTTCCATTAGTGAGGCCACAGTGCTTGGGGTGTCCTTGTGACAACAGCCTAGAACGCACCTCTGGGACAAGAGGCCCCATTCCTGTGGTTTTTGGAGGGAGTCACTGCCAGGGACAGATCAGGGAGTCACGGCTCTCTGTCTGACAAGAGGAAGTTGCAGGTTCCTCAGAGCTGGATGAACCCCCAATTCCCAGGGGCGGGGCTACAATCTCCTCACCACCTGGGCCCCTCCCACCCTCTTTTCCAGAGTTGCCCCCCACCCTCCTCAGGTACTGCTGACCAGGGTTGCCACAGACCACACCCAGCTCCCTCCCACCTGGCCCCAGGCAGACCTCTGAGATGGAGCCTGACTTGAAGCATGGTCTGTACCTCAGCTCTCCTTGCTGCCTGCACCCCCAGGGAAGAATTCTGGGGGTCTCCTCACACCCCAGTCACACAGGTCCACTTCCACGAGGCAGCCAAGGGTCTCAAACGAAGGTTCAGCGAACAGGGCCCTCTCTGCCTCTCTGAACCTTGGAGCCCTCGATTCTACAATGGGTGCGGTGTGCTTTCCCTGACAAGCTGCGGGGATGGATGAAGCCTCACCTGGATGACTGGCCCCAGGCCTGCACCTGGCACACAACAGAGATCCAGGAGGAACACATGCTCCTCCTCACCTCACCCCTGACCCCAGCAGCAAGGAGAGTGTGTCACCAGCCCTGGACAACGTGGAGGGCAGGGAGCACTGCAGAACTTCCAAAAATCAGTTTCCCAGCATTCCACAGGCCACACAGAGATCCCCTAACTGGTCCCTCCCATGCTGTCTCCCAGGCCTCACCCTCTCAGGGTGCAGGGCCCCATCTATAATGGAGGAGCCTGACTGCTCTCCCAAGGTGAAACAGGCTGGTGCTCACCACTCTTGACAAGGCTCATCTCCCTGGCCACTAGTGGCATACGCAGCCCTGAGTCGCTGACTCACCGGGCCCACACACAGCAACCTGCTACACAGGCTGCACCATGAGCCGAGGACCCAAGAATCTGTCCTTGTTGGCAGTAAAAGGGTCCTTCAGGACATAGCTCTCTTCCAGCCGGCTACAGAGAAGGAGACAGCTGGCAGAATGGTCAGTCATGTACCTTGGGGATAGTGGGGACTAGTGTCCCAGGACACAGAGTGAGGGGAGAGCAAGAAGCTCACGGATGGAATATAAATTAACGAGCTATACAAGGAGCTCTGGTAGCATAGTGATAGGCTTGGCCTGCTAACCACAGGGTCTGAAGTTCAAAACCACCAGATACTACTCAGGAGAAAGACTGGGCTTTTACTCCCATAAAGTTACAGTCTTGGAAACCCACAGGGCAATTCTACCCTCTTCTATGGGGTCACTATGAGTCAGCATTGACTCGATGGCAGTAAGTTTTTTTTATAGCCATACAGGAGAAACCTAATATATTCAGGATTCGTTTTGGCATTATTTAAGACTGATCTTGACAATGTTATTTATCATTTAAGAGCAGCATAGAGTATCGGCTGCCATGCTGTCACTCAACAGCGTGGTCATTTATGGCCTTAGGACATTAAGCTTGGCCAGCAGGAAATGTGATTTCTTCTGTGAGACTAGCAGTGATTCCCCTGTGGAGGCCATTACAGAGATGTGAGCTGGATAGGGCCCTGGATGGAAACCAGCAGCTTTGGAGTAGGTGCTGTCTTCTGGGGTGCAGGGGAGGGTTTGGGAGGCCCCTCATCACCCCTGGTGAATCAGACTGTGATCTGGAGCCCTTTAAGCTGTGGAGGTGCACTGTGGTCTCCTTCACTGTGAGGTGTCACCAAGCCTTCTCGGGTCACACCTGTGGGATTCATGCCCTGGGCTGGAAGAAGCCTACACCACCTCACTGCCTGGTACCTGCAGGCAGGTGCTTCCTAGGCCACAGGCTAGGGAAGTATTAACTCACCAGACAGACCAGGTGTTGGGGACTGCTGTCCCACAGAGGTGTATGGAGCTGACAAGGCACAGAGCTGACATTTGAACACACCCAGGGGCTGGTGCTCTCCCTCAGACGCCATCTGCAAGAGAGAGAAGTGGGACAAAGATCTGTCTCTTTACCTTTGGTTTCGGCTGTAAATAAAGGGGGGCGCGTGTCTTGCTGCTGTTTAAATATTATTATGTAACCTGGGCTTCTCGGGGTAGAGTCTTAGGATTTGTTTTTTGTTTTTTTTTAATTGGGGAGCATTATTACTTCAAATACTTCTGCCCAATCTCTATCTCTTCTTCTGGGATTCGAGCTGGAATGGAATCCTGGGAGTGTCGGAACTCCATGAAACTGTCATGTTTTTCTGAGTCTTACAAGCTTTTCATCCTCAACAGGCTCACCGGGCAGTACCCTCTGACCACTTTTCTATTAGTGGAACACATCTGCGTTTTCCTTCCCTGGCACATTACTACCTTATACATGTTCCACCTCTTACAGCCTTTACCATCTATTGGGCCATTTAATGTAGACCCACAGTCCTTGAATACTTGGTTCTACTCTTCCCCCACCCCTCTTTCTCTGTGCTTCACCCAAATGAAAGTATTCCGTTTCTACGGAATTATCTTCCAGTTCATTCATTTTAACCCTCAGCTTTACCACTGATGTACTCTTTGAAGGTATTCTTCATCTGCTGTTTATTTTCAGCACACCCACCTGGCTCAGTTTCCCTCTCTGCTGAAATCCCCCATCTGTTGATACATGTTGTATACCTTTAAAGTACAAATTCTGTTTACTTTAAACTGTCTGATTATTCAACTATGACCACATATGATTCAAGTTCTAATGATGGTTTTGTCTCTTGACAGTTGAGTTTTTGTTCTTTGCCTCAATTGTGGCTGAAACCTCACACCATTTGTAAGATAGTAGAAACCAAGAAGGTAGTATTTATGCCTGGAAACGGTCACTCTCCCTGCTACGTCTTTAGTGCGGAATACTGAATCAATCTAGTCAATTCAGGTGGGTTCAGTTACCATTCTTGGTCTCAGAGCATCAATGGTTTCAGATTTTTCTAGCACTGCCTTAGGCGTTGTGATTGGATTCATTCAGATGGAGGTTTCTTATGAGGGGGTACCCTCCAAAAAAAGGAAAAGAGCTCCACTGGCCAAAGTTTTGGTAGTAAGCATTTTTCCTGAAAGGCAAGCTTCTGGCAACGCACTCTGATTTAGTGCACCCAGTGGCATCACCTGGGGAGGTTCTTTCTGGTCAGTGAATTTTTTGGTATAAGCAATTTCATTCGAACCTTGTTTTTTGTGATGGCCAATTTAAGAGGGCAGCATGTGGCTGTGAAATTTTGTTTCCTGCTCAGGGAAAAATGCAGCAAGAACTGTTCTGATGTTGAACACAACTTACAAGGACAGTGCTATAGCAAATACTCAAGTGTACAAGTGGTTTTCTCACTTCAAAAAAGTTGAAATGTCAATTGATGACAAACCTTGTTCTGGATGTCCATCAACTTCCTAAATAGATGAAAATGTCGACAAAATTTGTGCAGTTGTGCCTGAAGACCAATGATAGAGCATTGAAGAGATGGGGAAGTTATATGGTCTATCTTACAGCTTGTTCAGCAAATTTTAAGATTTTGAAACGAGAAAGATTGCTGCAAAATTTGTGCCTCGCGTTCTGACTGATCAGGAAAAAGAGCATCAGGGGAAACATGGCATGCTTTGTAAGTAACATGGAATACCAACTGTCACTCAACAGCTCTGAAGCAGCCCAGATTTTTTTCCCCAAGGTCATTACTGGTGAGGAGACATGGTACTATTCTTACACCCCCTAAACCAAACATCTCAAGCCAGTGGAAGACTCCATCGTCACCCCACGCAAAAAAGACTCGTCAACTGAAATCAAAGATCCAGATGATGCTCATTTGTTTTTTTGATGTGAGGGGAATAGTGCATTTGGAGTTCGATCCACCAGGTTAGACTGTTAATGAAGCTTTCTATTTAGAGCAGCAGCTCTCAACCTGTGGGTTGCAACCCCTTTGGGGGTCGAACAATCCTTTCACACAGGTTGCCCAATTCATAACAGTAGCAAAATGAGTTATGAAGTAGCAATGAAAATAATTTTATGTTTGGGAGGTCACCACAACATGAGGAACTGTATTAAAGGATCGCAGCATTAGGAAGGTTGAGAACCACTTATTTAGAGGTTCTGAAAATATTCTGTAACCCTGTGGGACCAAAAAGGCCTGATTTGTGGCAGACAGGGGACTGGTTTTGCCACAATGACAATGCACCTGCTCATTTAGCCGTCTCAGTGCGCCAATTTTGGGCACAAATTGTTTTTTTTTGGAGGGGGGAGTATCCCCTCATATTACTCAATCCCTGCTTACATGGTGGTGGTGAGTTCTCTGTTGTCTTGATCCAACTTCAGTCTTAGAGTGGACCTAGGTCTCTGAGTGTTGGGTGAAGTTTTCTAAGGAATTCTGCAATTTTGACAGTTTCCTGCCCCCTCCCCTAAAGAGGGTTTTTCTCCTTTTCTTTATTCCCAAGCTGCAAGAGGTTTTTCACTTACACCCAGAGGGTAAAAGGGTGTGTGTGCTGCCTATCCCTCCATGGTTTAAGGTTTTTGTTCCGTGAGGGAGATGTATCTGGGCTGTGCAGAAAGGCCCAGGAAGGATCCAGCCAGAGAAGCAGACATCCACCTACCCCAAGCCTGCACCAATGGGATTACTCCAATGTTCTTTCCCAATATCTCCAATGAAGGTGTCGAGAAGAGCCTACCAGTGAATGCAAATTACCTGTGTCTGTGGCTCCAAATTTCTATTCTCTCTTCACATGCACTATAGAGCATTTTTTAAGATTCAAAGATTTGTATTGGCTTATATGGAGTCCTCGCTCGTTGGTGTCAGAGGCACCTGCCTTCCTTCCTAAGTGTAGCTAACTAGATGTCATATTAAGGGGCTCTGGTGTTACAGTGATTAAGCCACTTGGCTGCTAACCAACTGGATACTACCAGGTATTCTTGGGGAAACCTGTAAAGCTTACAGGACAAAACCTATGAGGCAGTTCAACTATGAACTATAGGGTCACAATGAATCAGAATCCACTTGATGGGTACAAGTATGTGTTCTGGGGTTGACCTGTCATGTCAGCTCTCAACCAGGTTCAAGAAGTTATGATTTTTTACATTGTACATCTTTTCTTTGGCCTGTGGAATTTCTACTCATCTTTTAAAGTCCTCATGAGGTTTCATTCTCTGCTGTGATCTTTCTACTCTTCTGAATCTGAGTATGTGAAGTACATTACTCCTGTGAGCTTTGGAATTGGACAAACCCACATGTAAACCTGGAAACACAGATTCCGGAATGCCACAGCAGGTCACTGGGACTGACAAATTATTTTTTTAAATTACAATCACCAAAGCCCATTACCAGGGAGTCTACTGCAATTCAGCAACCCTGTAGGTCAGAGAATTGCCCCATGGGTTCTCTATGACTTTGGGGAGGTTGACCATAGCAGACTGACACATCTTCTGAAAGAATGGTAGGTTTTAATAGTCAGCCTTTTAGTTCACAGCTGACCTTGTTCACCACTGCACCATGTATGTGAGTTTCAATTCCGAAAAGCCAGTTTGCAAATGCCTATGAATGGTGGTAAAATCCATTTCCAGAGTCCTCACAAAGATTAAGCCTCTACTGAATTCCTTCTGCACATTAACCAAGCACAGAGATCACCCTAAGTCAGACCCTCAGAAAGAGAGCATTGGAAAGTAGATTACTTCTACCCTTCTCCAACCAGCCCAAGTAGCAGCAGTCTCTTTTAGGAGCTCACCTGGGTGTGTCCTTGATGAAACCATGTTCCTGGGGGTCTCGGTAGTCTAAGTTGTAAGGTCACAGATCAATCTTGAAAGCTCTTCTAACATAACATACTTGTCCTAATCATGGTCCTTGACTAAAGGGTGCCTGACTCAAGCCATGGGATTGTCAATCACCTCATGTGTATGTTCAACTTGAACCCTGAATAAAGAAGACAGAAGAATCCATGCTTCGGAATCATGGTGCTGGAAAAGCATGTTCAAAGTACCAGGGACTGCCAGAACAAGCTAATCTGTCTTGGAGGAAGCACTGCCAGAACGCTCCTTAGAACCCAGGCTGCCCAGACTCTATTTACACCAGGTTCTTTGGATATGTTAGCAGGAGAAACCAGTTCCTCGAGGAGGACATTCTGCGTGGGAAAGGGTCGGTGATAAAAACGGAAAACCCATCAAGGAGATGGACGGAGTGGCTGCAACATTGGGCTCCAACACAATTGTGAGGAGGATGCAGGACCAGGCCGTGTGTCCTTCTGTCGTACATGGGGTCGCTGTGAGTCTAAACCACCTGGACAGCACCTAACAACGTCATGGTGCTGTCCCACGTCTGCAGTGCCACCTGTAA